CCACTCGGGAGACCGGCCCCTGGAGACGGGAACAGGCAGGAGGAGGGTGAGCAGGCAGAAGAGACCCTGGCAGGCGCCAAGGAGCAGCACGTCACTTCTTGCTCCGGGACAGGCACTCGGCATAGATCCAGCTGCAATGGACTATGAGACGCTGAACGAGCACTACACGACAGAGAAGGGAACCCCTTCCCTTCCGCAGACTTGTGGCAAGACGGGGGAATATCTGTGACCCAGCCGGGATTGCACTAGCCCAGAATGACGACCAGACTGCCCCTTGCATCAGCCCATCCTTACACCGCTACACCCCCGCATGGCTCGCCACAGAGGAGAGCACCAACGCCATGCTTCAGACCCGCAGGGGACCCCGTGGTTTCCGCAGAAGCTTTAAGGGACTTGCTGCTGCACTCGGAGCCACCGGAGGAACTGCCAGCACTGCAAGACCGAGCTGGTGGCTCCTTTCCCAGTAACCATCTGGCAGCTAAAACCTGGCCCCAGACCAGCACCCCCTTCCCTCCGGGCAGGCAGGCACCATACTGCATGAGCTGCAACCCTGCCCGTGTTGCCAGGCCAGGCAAGCAAAGGGACGAGCAGCTCCTGCGCCCCACCGCTACCTGCTGCTCCATCAACCTCCCCCATGGCTGATGCAGCCGCTGATGCAGCGGCACCAAGGGCCCCCGTTACCTGAGGTCAGCTCTGCAGATGTGGGTCACTTTGGAGCGTCCCATGGCGCTGGGCTCGATGAGGTACTGGGACATCAGCACGACAGCTTTGACGCCTCCCTCCACCGGCAGCTTGTCGTGCTCCACCGAGATGGAGATGAGCAGGCAGGCTCCCCGCGGCAGGTCCGTGTGCCAGCGCCTGCGGGACAGAGCAGCCCTGCTCAGCTCCTGTCCCTGCGTGCCCACCTGCGGGCAGCCCCTGCCCAGACCTCGGGGTCCGCATCGGGAGCAGGAGGTGGGGGAGCCTGTACAGCCCAAGGAAGAGCAGCCAGGGCTGGGGCCAGATGGGATCCACCAAACCAAGACCAAACCCTCCCGCTCAGGTCCTTCCCTGCCCTCACCGGAGCACCACGCAGTCCCTGCGCGGGTGGGGTGCCATGCTGTCCGTGACGTAGTGGTAGACCTCCAGGTTCTTGTCCAGGGCCTCCACCACTTTGCTCTGCAGCAGGTCCTCATCCCAGAGGTGACGCTCCCGAAGCACCCGGTGCAGCACCGTGGTGGGAGGGGCCTCGACCTCCGTGGAGACCTTCCACAAGCGCAGAGGGTGCCCATCCCCAACCTGATGGGCCAAGGGAAGGGTCAGGCAGGTTGTCCTGCAGGACCCCCACAGTGCTAACCCCCCGAGCGGCTTTACCAGTGGCTCCCACCACTGTGGAGCAGCACCGTCACATCTGCTGGCGAGAGAGGGGATGGGGTAGGATGGGATGGGCACAGGCAGCCAGCTCCTCTGCTAACAACAACGGGGTGGGCTCTCTGCCGGGACTGCTGGGCACAGAGCATCCTCCATCCCAGAGCTGTTCAACTCTCAGCCCCTCCTCTGGCCAAGGCAGGGGTTGCTGATCCCTCCTCGCCGAAGGGAACAAACACCAAGGGGTCGGTAGCCAGTTGGCAGGTGCCGCAGGACCCGTGGCTCCCAGTGGTCACCCCGTCACATTTCCCCACGTGCCCCCAAGGCCCCCTCCACACAGTGGCATTCACCTTTTTGCAGGAGAGCTCCGTGTTCAGGGGCCCCGGGGTGCTCAGCCACCCCTTGAATTTCTCCGACGATTCTTTGAGCAGGCTCTGGACGCTCTGCTCGAAGTAGGAGTGTAAATCCTTGCTTTCCCCCTGACACACGAAGTCAGCCAGGGGATGGGGGTAAGCATCTGCTGCCATATACGAGCTGCTCAGCTGGAGCAAGATGTCGTGGGATACCTGCAAGCCAAGAGCATAGAGATCTTCAGAAAGCCAGAGGAACCCTATGTGGACTTTGTGAGCAGCCCTGAGCAGCCAGAAAACCACAACTCCTCCTCCCACCAAGGAGGGGGGGGAAGAATGGACACAGCCTTCCTGGACATAGGTCCTGCAGCTTGTGACCTGCACCACAAGAAGATGCAGCTGGGCTTCGCTCCTGGGGCTGACCGACTGGTGGCAGCTGCCCCTTGAAGGATGGGTGCCCTTATCTCGCCCCACACTGACTCCACAGGACCAGCACCCCGCCAGCGAGGTCGCATCTCCCACTGGCAGCGCCCAGAGAGGGCAATGCCAGGCTGGACACGCCGCAGCCACCCACCTGGAAGAGCTTCTTGCAGTCCGTGATCATGTGGGAGAGCCCCTGCGTCGCAGCCATGTTCTCGTTGAGGTCCTTCTGGTCAGGCTTCCCCATGGTGCCCCTCTTATGTATCACCCTGCGGGGGAGCAGGTATCGCTGGGACCGGCTGGGCATCCCGCCCGCCTCTAGCCCCCCATTGCTCTGCTTTGTGTCGCAGTGTGGGGGACCCCCACATTGCAAAGCAGAGCAATGGGGGGGCTGTGTGAGAGCACGCGCGTTCCCACCACGCCTTACCCCGGTTCAGTGGCCTCCTCCCAGGATGGACAGGGAAGGGGCGATGGGGAGACGGGGACTGCAGGAAGGCTGGGGAGGCCAGAGCTAGTCCAACCCTTACCTCGGCGAGGTGCTTTCCTTCTTGGACACGTTGAGGTGGAAGATGGAGGGGGCCAGGCACACGGCCAGGTTCCCAGCGGTCATCTGGTTCTCCTCCGCAGAAGCGATGTCGCTCAGGAAGTAAAGCAAGGTCTGCAACACCTCCCGGTTCTCGTCCGGCATGAGGATAATGGCCGCCTGCACCGCCTGCAGCCGCTGCTCCTTCGACACGACTGCGAGCACAGGGCAAAGCTGACGGTCAGCAGGTCCATCCCCACAGACCACCATCTGCCTCCACCACCTCTGTCCGAATGAACAGAGAGATGCCTCCTCCCTGGGAGACCCCGACTTTCATCCCCAGCCCAGAGGCGACCGGCCCCAGCCCAGCACTTACACTGGTAGATCTGCAGGAAGGTGTCCGTCAGCTTGCTGGTGAAGATGGGCTCCGGCAGGTCACGGAAATACTGCTTCAGCAGGTCAGCCACGTCGTACGCCGACTGCCCGTCGTAGTTGACGTTGTCGGGGCTGGTTTCATTCATGTGCCGGAGCGCCTGAATCCGGGACTTCACCCCTGACTTTCGGAA